TCACAACAACGGTACAGAGTTGGTATAAGGAGAAGTTTTCAATTTCAACGAGTTTATTGCCTGGTCATCCGCGACCGAACTGGGAAAAAAACTTCGACCGAACGTGGAAAGCGTGCGCGGCCAGAATTCAACGCAACGAGTTGAATTGCGACAGCTACGATACCTGCATCATTCAGTGGAGTTGTACATGCCCAGCCTTCATGTACAACGAGTTTTTCCTTTGCAAGCACCTGGTGCATATCCTTGTGAACGAGACATACGAAGCGACGAAAAATATTGTATGTTCTTAACAGTGAAATAATCTAACATTCGTGCAGTTCCTAGCACCAATGTACAAAGTAAGGAGGTACACGCAACCACTGTGGGTGTTTCCGACATCCAAGAGTGAGATGCTTGCAGCCGAAAAGAGCAAGACCCTATTTTTCACCGTTCCTCGTGTGGGTGCAACCGATGTCTCTACCGGTGTTTCCACCGTTGGGATGCACGGCGCAACCAACGATGACAGCAACGACGCAACCAACGACGAAAGCAACGGTGTGACCAACGACCACAGCAGCGGCACAATCAACGTCGAAAGCATCGGTAACTCACGTGTGACTGCAATTTCATGTGCCTTCATACTGGATGCTTTAGCCCTGGCTGACTACAACAATGTCGAAGACGTGCGAATGAAACTGGACGCCATACAACGCATATGTGAAAAAGCCATGGCTACAAGTGCCAACAACGCATGCAACTCTGGATTTGTCAACACGGTGTTGCAGTTGCTTACCCCAACAAAGACGTTTATGGACAAGGTTGACGAAATTGACAACATGCGAAAACGCCACCGAACCAACGCCACAACCCGCAACGAACTACGGCGATATGAACCGCCTCATCCTTAAAAATATAGTTCGTACTGCTATTGTTCCTGATGACACGGATTATTGACCGCTTGTACCATTTGTTAACCTCACTGATTAATATGATCAATATTCCGACCTCACTTGGTACTTGTATGCTCTAATTTTGGCCAATCAATCGTCTCTATTATCTATTTGTACCTATCACATTGTAGTAGTAACTTATCCTACACTATTTTGACCAATTAAACTCAATTAGGGGCAGGGCTAGCGCATTCCTGTCGGTTCCGACACATTCCGACGAAACTTGTCGGAATGGCATCTGAAATATCCTGGTATCACATACAAATTCCAAATGCAGCGATAGTTCACCAAATAGTTCGACATATTCCGACATTTCGGCAGCTACGACTATTGTAGTTATATATATGTGCACGCTGAATTAATCCGACGGAGCCTAGTTGTACTTTCCTCGTGAACGTCGGGGACGATCGGCACTGAAAACCATTGTCGCATCGGACATGTCTTTCGCTAAAGAACATGGATTAACTGTAAGGTCACATACAAAACTATCATGCAATACCTTTTCGTTTGACGTTTCGATTCGCCACATTGCCGCGGCCACTTTCAAAACCCACGTTTTCATCGCCCAATTCACCGTCGTTGCCATCACTTCTTTCATCGCTATTTTCCCCGTTGGCTTCGCCGTTGTTTTCACCGTTGATATCGCCGTCGATATCGCCGTTGCGTTCAAAAACAACGGCATTTTCTTGGCTCGAGGCATACAAGGAAGCAACGATACGTTGTAGCAGGCCTTCGTGACGAGAGGCCATGGCTTCGACAGCGCGAACCCGACTATCGATACTTGGTTCTGGCTCCAGCTGTGCCGCTCGGCACCGCAACATACCATCCTTTCGCTCCTTCTGATACTTTAGTC